CCCCCCCCCCCCCCCCCCCCCCCCTTCCACTTCTTTCCTGTTTAATTTACAACACCCCTGAGATAGGCAGAGCTGCTACAACTCAAATCCAGATTTCTGCCCCCTCCCCTCTCTCCACCTCACTCATAAAACTGCAGCAGAGGTGGAGTCATTCACCCCCTGGGGTAAGAAAACAATGCAGTATGGTGGGAACTTTAAAGCATCACCACCAGTGGCATTTAATGTTTTTTTTTCTCTGCCTGTTGTTGTTGATCGCCTGCTGGAGCCAAAATGCCACAGAACTCTGTATTCTCCAAGTGCTCGGGGAGCTCATGCATGCTGATGTTTTATTCACTTTGTGAGTGAGGGGGCATGATGAAAGGGGAGGCATGCCTTATATAGCACTAACACTTGGAGCCAGGCAGCAAACATGAAATATTAACACATATCATCGTCAGCAGTGATCAGCGGTGATTAATTGTGCAGCAGTAAATAAATAAATAAATAAAAAATAATAAAGCTTTTAGACATGGGTGTTAAGGTAAAGGTTTGTTGGGTCAAGGTTATTTAGAAGCAAAAGTTCAGCAACTCTTTAAATAAATGATGGGGAAATAATCCAAAACAACTGAGGTGTTTTTCCAACTGCTTTAAGACCAACAGCCTATTGCTGCACACTGCCAGTCAGCTGGACAATGCAGGGCTAAATTATACATACAGGTTACAGCTTTAGAATAAAAGTAATTGTGACTCAAATACAGCTTTCAGTAATTAAATCACTTGTTTTAAAGCTTGGGCTTCACTCGCCTCTTTTTTTTCTCCAAATTCTGACTTTAATCTCAGAATTCTGACTTTTTTTCTCCAAATTCTGACTTTTTTTTCCCTCAGAATTACTTTAATCTCAGAATTCTGACTTTTTTTTCTCAGAATTCCGACTTTAATCTCAGAATTCCGACTTTCATCTCAGATTTCTGACTTTTTTTTCTCAGAATTCCGACTTTAATCTCAGAATTCCGACTTTCATCTCAGATTTCTGACTTTTTTTTCTCAGAATTCCGACTTTAATCTCAGAATTCTAACTTTCATCTCAGATTTCTGACTTTTTTTCCTCAGAATTCTGACTTTAATCTCAGAATTTTGGATCTTAATGTAGATGGGCACCATGATCGAAGAGACGTGGAGCACTCAGCTTCACTGACAAAGATGTGAGTTGTTTGAGGTGGCCAGTGACACATTGGTGGAAAATGACGGAATTAGGCAACTTTTTACGTGTCTGAGGGGTCCCCTCATTAATGGAGGAGCAGAAGGTCATTAAAACAAGAGAGCTAGTCTCTAAAACAGACATGGCTATGGCTTCATATTTCCCATGTTAAACTGAAATAAAACTTAAAAATCAATCTTTTTTTTTTTCTTCAGTGGCCCTAATCCTCTTCCGTAGCCATCTTTGCCCCTCCCACACTGCTGAAACAAGCCTTATGCTCCATTCGTTAATAGGAGTAATTTTTTAATTGCATGTTTTCAAATGCAGAAAAAAAACACTAAAGGCAGCTGCTACTACTTTTACTCATATATCTGAAAATGCATTTATTTCAGAAAATCGATCCCCTATGAAAGGTATGGATCTATTACATAGATTTATTATAATTAGACTATGGCTTCAAGGCTCAGTTTCTCTCAATTATGATAATTTTCTGTTTGCAGGTAATGAAAATGTGAGAAAAGGTTTAGAATATTACATTAGACCATTAAAAATAGTTAACTAACATGGAAACGTGGGTTGAATCAAAGCATATTTAATACCTGCTTAATGATTGCTGCTTTCAAACAGCATTTAGTGCATCACAAATAAGCTTTAGCACATGCACAATAATGAAACCTATGACTAGCTGCAGGCTAGCTGCAGGAATGCATAGCTCTACTAATTGACTGTGTTACTGTATGATAAGCCAAACTCAAAAATATGTCATACTTTTAGAAACAAGCCTTAAAAATAAAAATATTTAACAACATAAGGTTAAAGATTGTGCTGCACAAATAACTGCTTTTTTATCTTAACTGAAAGCAATGAGATCAAGTTACACTGTTTTTTTAAACGGTTGTAAATACTTCAGTGTTGTCAAACCATTGTACTTTTAATTAAGAATAGTATACTGTGAGAACCTAATATGGACTAAAGTCTACAAGCTTCATATGTCTCTGTGGAGTAAATCACAGTGGTATGAGTTGATAGTGATCCTCTGTTCGATGCTTGAGGAGCAGCTCTTTGAACAAGTTGAGTTGACCTAATTCAGTCTCTCTTCAGGGCTGCTGGAATCTGCTTTTACAGGTCAGCAAATAATGGTTTCCACTCGATATGTAGACGTACATAGGGAAGCAGAAAAATCTCTACTGCTGATATGATTAGAGAGAAGAAAAAAAACAAAAACGCCCCAAAACACACAGACATCCTTCAGATAGCTTTATAAAATCCTTTTCCGAGTGTTCATCCATCTGGTTTATTAGCTTTTAAAATGAGAAGACAGTAAACGCTGACTGTAAATGAGAGAATTACAACATAAAAATGTCAAAGATGCTGAGTCCTTTACTGCAGACAGGTGGTGCAAACGGGAGATTAGATGCAGAGGTAGCTCCTTCAAACTGGCAGAGCCGGCCCAAGGCATAAAGGTACAGAGCTGCTGCTTAGGCTGACCTGCAGGGGGCGCTTTGCTGGCTTCTTACAACAGTTTCAATTGTTATTTTACATTTGGGTCATTTTAAAGCTATTTAAAAACTTACTATGATAAAAAAAATAATAATAATTTGGTTTAAAATCCAAATTATAAGTTATAGATTTATGCTTTTTCATCCACTGTAGAGATCAGAGTAACAACTTTTTATACAGTAGCCCAACAAAGCCTTGCTTTTGTTTTGAAAACATGCAAACTGGGACAGACGAAGCAAAAACAAGGCATTGTCGGGTGCGATTACAACGCTATTTCTGACATTTTGAATTGAAAAAGCTTCTTGGATGGGAAGCGAAATGTCTTCAAACTTGGAAACAAATTACAGTGGATTGTTTTTAATTTATTTTTGGAATGACTCGGACCTGGATGACTGAGAGCCTTCACCAGTGTCAGGACTCCTGTCTGTGTGTTTGTGTTTGTCTCCCTTCCTCCACCAGGAGGCGCCTGGTTTTGGTCCGTCACCTCACACACCTGCGGATGGTTTCCTCATTAACGGAGTGTTTTTAAGCTGCTGACTGCCACTACCTCGACGCCAGAGTGTTTGCCAGTTTTGGATTCTCTAGCCAAGCTGAGTTTTGCTGAGTCAAACTGAGTTCTTGTCAACCTGAGTTTTAACTTTGTTTTTGTCTTTGCCTCTCGGCAGGAAGTCATCCTGCAAACTGGATTTCTCTGACCTTCTCTCCCTGGAAGGATCAACTGAGCTGGGGTTCAAACAGGAGGTTTGGATCCACTTTCCCCAAGAGATCGTTTGAGCTTCACACTGAGAAAGGGATTCATCTCCACTACGACCCGTTCAAGTATCGCAGGAAATCTGAGTGGCAGTCAGTTTCTCCATTCACCTACTAACAACCGCATTCTGGGTAAACCCTGTTCCGCCCTCCACCAGAATCAGACAAAAACAAGGATTCAACAACTTCTCTGGAAACATGAGTCAGCAACCAAATCCTCTTCTCCAAGTTCACGAGTCAAATTTCCCACTGAGCCTGAACTAACCGCTGTGCCTTCCCCTAACTTTCCAGTTCCAGTTGAGCAGTGTTCAGAGCAACACTTCTCTCTGAATTATCTCTTCAATAAAACCCTTTTCCCTGGTCTCCCTGTTTGGTCTTCTGCATTTGGGTCTGAACCTTAGTAAAATCATGACAACCAGCACATTGGCCAGAATATTTTATATGGCTTTAATATTTTGTTTTCCATCTTTATGGTATATTTGGGGAGGCTGCAAGGTTTTACATAAATTACCCTTTTTTTTTAGTTGAATTTTGTATTTTTGGCACATTATCTGTTTTTGATGCACTAAATTTAAATGCAATTTCTCCACCAACTTTGCGCCAAATGAAAAAATGCCCCATTTATCCATTTCTGCCGAGCAGCAACCTGTAGGACAATAAAAACGCCCGGCCCATCTTCCAGCTCATTTAAACCCATCTGATGATCTGCCCTTCATGTTTATCCTCAGAGGACAAACATTAGTTAACCCCTGAGCTTTGAGTAACGGGCTCTGGCCTGGGGAGGCTGGTGTCTCCGTGTGGGGGCCCACTGGGACTCTCAACGCTGCCGCTGCTGCATTGATTTACTTGCTGACACCAGAACTGATGAGGGATCAAGCTGGCCACGGTCCAGCAGAGGCAGATTGGATAGGGAGGAGGATAGATGGATGAGGAGGGAGGGGGTGAAGCAGTGAGAGGTTTGGGCTGTAGGGTGGGCTCCTCTCTGGGGCAGCGCTCCCTCCTGTTGATAGTGAGGGCCCCGCAGCGCACTTGTTAAGCCATTGACCTTTAATGCACACTTGTCATCTAATATGTTACACATGTGCGTCCCTGTGGAGAGATTGATCCGCTGGCGGGTGCGCGTGCATGCCTAAGGAGCCCCGGCGCAGCAGAGCGCTCCAACCCTCCGGAGCGCATCATCCGTGCGCCCTGGTGATGGAGAAGGGACGCCCCCTCTGCGCTGCCTCGGAGGAGGGATGGGGAACCGAACCGATAGGCGGGGCAGGTGGGGCATCCTCACTCTGCATGCGGGCTTTGACTACAGGGACAATAGCAACAGGGACATGTCCCCGAAAGGCCGCATGTCATCACAGAAACATGAGTTGGGACGCGGCACAGCTGCTGATTGAACTGGACTGAGTTAATGGGTTTAATTAAGAAAAAATAGAAGGAAGAAAATGTGTCTCCCATTGGAGACAATAATTGATTAGTTAATTAGAGGCAATGGATGGACTGTTTCTGTTTACCAAACAGTCTATTGTTTATACGCACAGCAACACACAAAAAAGGAGACATTAAAACAAAAAGGACGTACCTTCCACAGCCAGGACCGCAGGGACCACCAGGCTGCACACCCAAAGCAGGTAATCCATCGTCATAAACCTGGATGTAGCCTCATGAAGAAAGGTGCGCTGACTGGAGCCCCGCGGACGGACTGGAGACCTAAACGCAGAGCGCCGCAGCAGCAGCGGGGCTGCTTCCTCTCATACCTTCAGCTGGGAGTCTGGGAGAAGCGGGTGGGATAGGGGGGGTGGAAGGGAGGGGGTCTTATTGCCCCGCAAAAAAAAAAAAAAAATCCTCAGTCTGAAAGCATGCGGGCTGGAGCCGTTATCACTCCTCCGGTTGGTCGGCGGCGTTGCGCCGTTTCTCAGTCTCCTTCTCTTTGTGTGACTTTACCGACAGGCAGCTCCGATCCAGGGGCGCATCTCTGCGCCGGGTGGGGGGGCTCTCTCCCTGGGCGGGAGGGCGAGGACGGGAACCCCGGGGTGAAGTCCTCTCTCCGCGGAGGGGGTCTGGAAATGCTCAGCCTGTCCGGCTCCTCCAGGATGCTGCTCCTCTGCGAGGGATGTGCGTCGGAATGGCAACAGAGACCGAGAGGTGGGGGGGCTGAGAGGGGGGGGGGGGGGGGGTAAACAGCAGCAAGGCAGTCAACACTAACCACATGCTTCCTTTTAAGACTGCCAAATTAAAAGCACCTCATCGGAATGATGACTTTTACAGAAAAAAGTCATTTTATTACAGCCAGCTGACGATCAGTGTGCAGCAGCAGTAACATTTCATTATGTAACTTTTTAAAACAAATTAGTTTTAGGAGTAGATGTAGATGTCATTAGGGTTTTAGTATTTTCCAAAAATGAGCTCAAACATCCATTTATTGAATGCTTAAGACACAAGAGAACCATAATACAGAGATTCATATTCATAGATAGTAAAAGAGATAAAAATCCAAATATCATGCATCCCTAGAAGTACAATTTCAATTCCATCCATCCAGAAAAGTATGGATATGCTGCATTTTAAATATAGCATAGCAAATTTTTATTTATTTTTTTTTTTACGTTTTTTGGTAAACTTGGAGATATATTTTATTGCATATTGCATATCCCAGTAAATCTGTTTCATCTTCACATCTGCAGCTCTCCCTACTTCTCTCTGTGCTCTGTTTAAAAACATTTCTGAACCTATTTACTAATATAAAAAAATTAAGATATGTAGAAAATCTGCAGACTGATTAAGTCTGCACAATAAGAAAAAAGTGTAACCTGTAACTTTGTGTCATGGTCCTCTGAGAAGCCAGGATTTTTTTAGCTGGTAAAGAAGAATGCAACATTTAAACTATGTTTTCTCAAGCTTCTTGCATTATGATACTAACTCGAATAAATTTATAATCTGTTGCCATTTTGGGGGGAAAAGCTCTGCATGTCTAACAAACTGATTTTTCGGTGGATTCTGTATTTTTACTTTTACTATCAAAGTAGCTGCTGGTTAATATTCACTGAGTGCTGCTGTGTTACTCTCCTCCTCCACGTAGCTACTCTGTATGGAGTAAAATGCGACCGCAAATCTGATGATGTTAGACCGAGAGGCTGGACTCAGGAGCAGCGTGAGAGAGAAAAAAAAAAAAACACTGACTGAAAACAATCTGAATACAGTTAGCTGCACCCAACTCTGTTACCTTAGGGTAAAAAAAATGAGAGGAAAGGGAAAAAAGCATAAATTATTGGTGGGGACATGTCCCCCTCCAGTCTTTCACAAAGTTACGCCTCTGTACTACCCCGTACCTCCCTGTAAAAGTTGGTCTTCTGTTTACTCTGTCCAGAGTAACTTCAACTATTCAGGAGTTCAGATGAAAATACAGTAAACAGTTGATATTATAACTGTAGTTCTCATTGCTGTCCTTTAAAGATAGATTTTATTAGTTTATGTTGGAAAAATAACCTTTTCAGTATTTTTCATAAATTCATAAATGTTATTTATGTGTTTGTTTTATTTTATACTTTGTAATGGCATAATTTGCATATTCTGTCTGAAACATCAAATGTTAGTATTTGAGAAGCCATTTTATCAAGTAATTTCTTATCCTAATTTATTTCTACTTTGACTTGAGCAATATGTTGTTAAAGTACTTACTCCTATTATAAGTAAAATGTTTTGAATGCTCTACCCACCTCTGTATCTATGGATCCCTCTGCAAACCTTGAAAAAATGTTAGCAAAATAGTTCATTTTTAATAGATATATATGTAAATAATACTCAACTTTTGTAATTACTGGTTTCATGAGCTTTTTATTGAACAAATATATAAAAATGTGTTTAAAATAGATTTTTAGTGCTTAAATGTATTTTATATTTAGTATATTCCTTTATTTCTACTCTTTAAAAAATACCTGTGTAAATATCTTATTTATTTCAGTTTATATTACACTATTTTTAAATATTAATTAAATGTTATCATAAGTTACTTAAGTAGTCTTATTTCCAGGTTGGATACTATTTTCTCTTACTTGAGTAAAAACATGTTTAATGTAGTGCAACTCTTATTTGACTGCATTTTTTTGGGCTAAGTTATCTAAGTTATTCTTGAAAATACACATAGTTTAGTTCAATTCAATATTCTGAGTAACATTACATTAGATACATTAAAAAATAATGACTTTTGTCGATTCAGTCTTATGGGCTCTGCGTACAGCTTCATTACTTCCTGAACTTAAATCAGTTCTTTGGTTTCCTGTCTTTTATTACTGGATAAACCGATTAATCCAGGTGTGACTGGCCTTCGTCGTCATGGTTACCGAGGTCAGGCACACTTGGATTAATCAGTTCATCCAGTAGAGAAAGAGGAAACAAAGGAGCTGCTTTAAAATCAGGAAGTGGTGTATAGATCCCAGTAACTACTTTCAACATTCAGGTTTTTATGGAAGCCTTATTATGCCAGCCTCTAATAAAAACAAAAAGAAAACATATGTCTCGTATTTATGACTAACCAGTGGCATCTGGTGGAGTTTTCTCTCAAAATAGACGTATAAAAACCAACCAAACATATGCTAAGTTATCACTATAGTATATTTATATAAATACCATCGACAAAAAACATTATAAAAACACGTTATAAAAACAAAACATAATTTTATCTATAGGTTTTCTTTTTTAACAAAAATATTGCCCTTCTGAGGCTTTGTGAAGGTAAATCTATGTTTTGCATGGTCCAAAATGGTGTCACAAACCTTAATTTTTCAATTTTTATTATATAATAACTATTTTCTGAGAATGTGTTTATTTATGAGCAACTGTGCAAATTAACAGAAATCTATATTAAACTATATTATTTTCTATGTGAATCCTAGATTGTTCATTCTTCTTTCCCTTTTCTAAAAAATGTGTTAGGTCAGATTCTGATGTTTGAAAAAGGACTCTTCGCTATTATCTCTCAATCACTGCCCGACTGACAAGCTACATAACCTATATCGCTGTATCACGGGCGAAAATCCAGGAGCCCCAAAACCATTAAATTTAGCGATACTGATTGGCCACATATTTATTAATTTTCCCTAGCAACATTATACAATTGGTTATTTCGCTGCACTTCAGGGGTGCTTTGAATGAGAAATTCACTGTTGGATGAGAGTCAATTGTTAGAAGTGTTGTTTTAATAATTCATATTACATGTAGCCACATACTAATAAGCAATGGTGTAATGACACAACAATAGTCCCGTAAGCAACATTATCTGGATGGGCCCCATATGAAGTACAACACTCTGGATTACCCATAATTCAAAGTCTTAGAGTAAAAAATAAAATACTCAAATACATTGTTCTTTTATTTTAACCAACCGTGTAATGAACTATACACAGTTATTAACATAGCAATTAAAAGTACCACTGCCTGCTTTGCTATTGGTGTCGTGTTTAAACGGTTCACCATCATGGTGAAATCTGCGATGTGTAAATACGGTCCAGTGGAGTCACCTTAAAATCAGGTGGGTTTAAGAGGAATTTTTGGCACCATTACATCTGAAAAGAGACGCCCTAGTCTACAATTGCGTAGGGGGCTACCAGGTGTCAGTGACGGGGCCCCAAAGAAGTCGGGGGCCCCTAAGCAACTGCAGTCTCTGCTTACTGATATTTACGCCATTGCTCTTAAGTAAAACTGACATTGATAATACTTTTAAAATCTATATATATATATATTATGACTTTTCTCCTCCACATCTAGGGATGGCAGCGCCCCCTATGGGCAAGCCGCCCTTAGATATAATTTTTTTAATACAAAGAACTGGTGTGGTGCTTGTAAATACGGAAGAGGATTAGAGCCACTGAAAAAAAAAAAGTTAACTGATTTTTAAATTTTATTTCAGTTTAGTATGGGGGAAAAAAAAGTCAGAATTCTGAGATTAAAGTCAGAACTCTGACTTTTTTCCCCACACTAAACTGAAATAAAATTAAAAAATCAGTTAACTTTTTTTTTTTTTTTTTCCAGTGGCCCTACTCCTCTTCCGTATGTTAACTAAACTAACAGAATTCTGTGATTAAAGTCAGAATTCTGAGATTAAAGTCAGAATTCTGAGATTAAAATCAGAATTCTGACTTTTTTCCCCACACTAAACTGAAATAAAATAAAAAAAAATCAGTTAACTTTTTTTTTTTTTTTTTCCCAGTGGCCCTACTCCTCTTCCGTATGTTAACTAAACTAACAGAATTCTGTGATTAAAGTCAGAATTCTGAGATTAAAGTCAGAATTATGAGATTAAAGTCAGAATTCTGACTTTTTTCCCCCACAACTAAACTGAAATAAAATTAAAAAATCAGTTAACTTTTTTTTTTTTTTTCCAGTGGCCCTACTCCTCTTCCGTATGTTAACTAAACTAACAGAATTCTGTGATTAAAGTCAGAATTCTGAGATTAAAGTCAGAATTATGAAATTAAAGTCAGAATTCTGACTTTTTTCCCCACACTAAACTGAAATAAAATTAAAAAATCAGTTAACTTTTTTTCTTTTTTTTTTCCAGTGGCCCTAATCCTCTCCCGTATGTAAATTATAGGTAAGTTATTGTAACAGTTTTTCCACATAAGTCATTAGTGATAAATATATTTCGTTACATGATCTGTTTTCAGGAACAAACCAAAGGAAGCCAAAATGAATTAGCCTGTTAGATTCCAAAACATAACATTTATATAAAACCAAATATTATGATATGCTATTTTTACTGTCATTATTATGTGTAAATTATTAGATTGTGTTATTTCATAATTATTAAATTGTCAAATCATAATTAAGATATATAAATTTCTTCTTTTTTTTTTTTTTAATGAGAGAGTGGCAGAAATGGTCTGCCATAGATTTTCATAAACATGTTAACGGTTTAAATAAATCTGACGTCACGGACTGAAAAACGAGGCTTTTATTTTGTAGAGAACTCCACAGCAGCTTCCGCCCGTGTTAAAGCCGTTTGTTTGGAGCTGGACGCACCAGCCTGTGTGTGGAAGTGGGTGCAGGACAAAAGAGTGTGGAGGTGGGAGGAAGAGGAGGCGGCTTTGCCCGCAGACTCGTACCTGCCGCCGGGAGCCGCACACCGCCGATCGATGGCGGCATTAA